ACGAAGGAAGGAAGGAAGGAAGGAAGGAAGGAAGGAAGGAAGGAAGAAGATAGATAGATAGATAGATAGATAGATAGATAGATAGATAGATAGATAGATAGATAGATAGATAGATAGATAGATAGATAGATAGACTTTCCTTCTCTCATTGTTCACTATATCGTTATTGTTATTCCTATTGCTATTGTTGTTACTCTTGTTATTAGGACTACAGCTACTGCTAAGTAGTATGCAAGTATTAATCCCAAACCAGAGCAGACACATTGAATGATTACTAAAATCACTAAGCTCTTTGCAATTATTAGCTCAAACTAGACACGATCCACTGAATAATTGCTAATATTAGGAGGATGTCATCAAGTGTTAGCCCCAGATGAGGGACACCCACAGGATTCTTCCAACGAGTAGCATTGTAAGAGTGGGTCCCAAAGAGGGGTAGATCCACTGAATTATTCCTGATTTTACTAGGCTGTATGGACGTGTTAGTCCCAAAAGAGTAGATATGATGAATGATGATTGCTAGTAGTCTCGGAGAACAAGGGCAACTGCCAAATTAATTGTTACTCTTGAATTATTACTATTTATTTTCATTGACTCAATACGCCCGCTGCTGTTTCTACTAGGCTAAATTCAGTATTAAAGCCCCAGCCAGCTCAGACCTCCTGAACTATTTAGCTTTCTTTATAATCCACTTCAACTATACCCGCTCCTTCTGCTGTTTTAAGTATTTTGACCCTTGCGAGGGGGCCCACGGGGGATCGGGAGAAAGCAGGCCAAGCCACGTTTACTCAGGAGTAGGCGCCGCCGAGGCTTACTCCGAAGCAAGCCTCGCTAGCTGGGTTTACAATCCAGTTTAAACACAGGCCAGCGACTCTTTTTAAAGTCCCTGCGTCCGGATTTTACCAGCTACAGCCTTCCAGAATCTGCTTTGCACCACCCGTGGATCGTTCCCCCAATAAATTAACCCCCACCACCCCAGTGGAACCGATTAATTCCTAAATGGCCGCGTTCACACTTTTTTTTTAAAATCTCCACTTGCTCGCTCTTTCATTCCGACGTCCGCAAAAGTGTAAACACGTGTGTTAAGTCTTTTGGCGAGTTCCCACGGGGTCAAGTGGCCCATAGACCCCGGCTGGCTTTACTCTGACGAATTCAGTTGCCCCGATCCTTATTATTATCTTCAATAATAAGAATCAAATCCCATTTTTGTTTGGTTTTTAATTTTAATTTTAATTAAATCGGCCAGCAAAAAAAGGCGACCCAGGTACCAAACACAGCCCGTGGAAACCGACTTTGAAAAGTTGGGAAGAATTTGTTACTGGAAAGGAAGGAAGTCGTTACTTTCAGTTCTCGTGGAAAGAAAAATACTGTAAGTACAGTAACTTGAAAAATTTTCATTACGCAGCTGGCTGACACACAGACGTCCACAACATCGCCTGAAATTTAAGGACACCCGGTTCCAGATTCGGAGTCACTCTCTTTACTTTAACTCGAAGTATGCAATTCGCTTCGCTTGCGCGTCACAAAGAAGCGACTCAAGAAGGGCAGGGGGGAAAAGCCAAAGGGGACGTGACATTTCAGAGAAGAGGCGAAACAAAAAATTTAAAAAAATTAAAGAGATCGTCAACTTTTTTCCGAAAGCGATCTGGAAGGAAACCGAATCTTTCGGGCCCAAGGCGAGAGATGGAAATTTGGTCTTTCTTATTTGGGGAAATCAACCAGATTTGAGTGGGTTTACATTAACCTGCCTGTAGACCTGTGTTTTCAAGAGGTGTCCAAACACGGATTTATTAGGGGGACGCCCGTTCCGACGTTCCTACTCAAAAGCAGCAGGCAGGGGTTCTTTTTAATTCACGTGTCAGCTTGGGCCCAGAAGCCTGGGTTTCCTCCCGTCCTTGCACCCCATTCCGTGAGGGCTCCGGCTCCTAAAAGACGGGGTGCAAAGTTTTTGTAACCTGTCCATTTTCTCTTCCACGAGACTGGAGCCCTCGAAAACTCGGATCAGGGCCATAAAAAAACACAAGGATTTGCCGGGGAAAAAGGCGAGAAAAAGAAAAATTGGCAGAAAGGAGGAATTAAATTCCCGGTTGTCTGAAAAAACGGATCGTCGTCTGTCGGCCTTTTTCATGAGAAAGGGTTCTGACTCCGGATTACACCGCCCTTCTCCCCAAAACTAAGCAAACTCAGCACCTCCTCCTTCAAAAAATCTAGAGGCACTGGCGTAGCCAAGAAAGAAAAGAAGAAAATTGAAGGGGAAAAGACCCCCACCCTCCAAAGAAAAAAAAACATTTCGGGACCCGGCCGTGCAATTTCCATTGATTCGAATTCTCTCCGGCCTGAGTTTTCTGGCACGGTGCGCCGTGTCTTTCCTCCAGTCCGAGAAACTTTTTGACAGGGGGGGCTGGGAAGTGTTGAGGGATCGGGACCGCCGGAATTCCCTCTGGACGCCCTTCTCTTCTCTTCCCCCACCCCCCAATTTTGCTGCGTAAAGTTTTTTGGAAGTTTTAAATCTTGGGCAAGGAAGGAAGGAAGGAAGGAAGGAAGGAAGGAAGGAAGGAAGGAAGGAAGGA